GTATAGCCAAAAATAAATAATTTTAAAAAAGAAATTATTTCAATATCCTGAAAATAGGGAAACAGGTGATGTGATCTAGAAACCAGGGATTTGGGGGACTTTTATATCCCTGAAGCATTTTGTTATAGAATCTGGGGGTCCTTAGATGACCCTTCCCTTTCTTTCCTTCTTTTTTAAATTGAGGTAAAATTCATATAACACAAAAGAAAATTAACAATGAGTCATGCTAAACTATACATTTTTTTGGCATTTCCTACATTCATAATGTTGTGCAACCATCTCCAGTCACTAGTTCCAGAGCAATTTCAACACTCTGAAAGGAAATCTCATACTCATTAAGTAGTTATTCCCCACTCCTCCTTCCTCCTAGCCCCTGGAAACCACTAGTCTGCTGCTTTCTGTCTCTATGAATTTATCTATTTTAAATGCTTCAAATACATGAAATTATGTGACTTTTTGTGTCTGGCATTTTTCATTTAGCATAATGCTTTTGAGGTTCATCTACTTGGTAGCATGTATCAGTACTTCAATCTTTTTCATGGCTGAATAATACTCTCCTGTATGGATATACCACTTTCAGTTTATATAGTTATCACTTGATGGACACTGGTGTTGAGTTCATTTTTGGCTATTATGAATAATACTGTTATGAATATTTGTGTACAGGTGTTTGTTTGAAGACAGGCTTTCAATTCTCTTGGGTCTATACTTAGAAGTGAAATTGCTGGGTCATATGATAATTCTATACTTAACTTTTTGAGGAGCTGCCAAACTGTTTTCTACAACAGTTGTACCATTTTACATTCACCCAGCAATGTCTAGAAAGTCCTACTTTCTCCACATTTTTACCAAAATCTTTCTTTTACAGCAACTGCACACAAGTCATGTTCATACTGCCCATATTCCAACTCTGATGCTTCATCTCTATATTGAGTTGCTGCTCAACTTCAGTCGTGTCCGACTCTATGAGACCCCATAGACGGCAGCCCACCGGGCTTCCCCGTCCCTGGGATTCTCCAGGCAAGAACACTGGAGTGGGTTGCCATTTTCTTCTCCAATGCATGAAAGTGAAAAGTGAAAGTGAGGTCACTCAGTCGTGTCCGACTCTTAGCGACCCCGTGGACCGCAGCCCACCAGGCTCCTCTGTCCATGGGATTTTCCAGGCAAGAGTATTAGAGTGGGTGCCACTGCCTTCTCTGCTATATTGAGTTAGGACTTGCTTATTTAGAGATGTTTGTGCACGTCATGTCCCTTTGGGTCTCCTCCAGAAAATGACTGTTAAGGACTTTTTTTTTCCTTGCTCAAAAACAAACAGAAAAATTGAGTCTATTAGACACACCCTTTCAGAGATGTTGTCTTTCTGGGCTATTCATTTTCATTCACTCATATCATGGAATTACATGCTTTTCATTTAAAATCACTGTGGCTTGATGATTCTTTGGTTTTTCATCCATCACTTCCAAGGTGTATCTCCATCTTGTGACACCTTGTCAGCAGAATCTTCCTCTCCATTGCTAGATTTGCTTAAATTCCAAATCTTTTGCAATACTATGTTTGATTGAATTTCTTTTTGCTTCTGTTAGCAGATGTTTTTAACAATACTCTGCTTCCTAATTTTCAATGTTTTATCCATTTCTCTGGTTGTTGAATCATAATATTTTGGAATTAAACATATTGCTTTTGTGGTCCTCTAAACTTGCTTCTGCCATTCCTTCATTTTATTTTTTTTCATTCCTTCATTTTAAAGAAAATTAATATTGCCCAATTTATATGCATTTGTGAAAACTCATATTAGTACAATTAAGATTTTTCACTTCACTGTATGTAAAATTTATCTCACTGAAAACAAAAAAAAAAAAACAAAACCAAATGTGAATAACTACTAAACTCTCTGGAGAAGAAAATGGCAACCTACTCCAGTATTCTTAGCTGGAGAATTCCATGGACAGGAGAGCCTGGTGGGCTACAGTCCATGGGGTTGCAAAGAGCAGGACACGACTTAGCAACTGAGCACTGAGCACTAAACTCTAGTTAAAAGATACACAGCGCTGAAGAGTTTAGAGATGGTATGCATTAATGTCTGAAACTTTGAAAAGCATTAAAAAATTAATCTGGATACCTGGATGGAAAGAGGGATAGGCAAATAATTGGTAAAACAAATATTGAAAAATGTTAAATTCAAAATAATTGTTAAGCATATGTATTATTTTTTCAGCCTGTTTGATAATTCTCATAGTAAAATTAACAAAAAAAATCCTTAATTGCTCTGATGACTTATGTCAATCAGTTCTTTGTAAAAGATTCTGTGATCATTTCCATCATAGTCTGAACCCATCAATTTATTTAATCCAATTCAAGTAAATAAACAACATTTAGAGGAATAAATGAGAATGTATAGAAAATGCTTTGTAAACTGTGTAGAACTTTATAACCATGCTATTATTAATTCTATGATGGTCAAGGGATTGAGCCCGTGTAAAATCTTAATATAAACCACTATCCCAAACATATTCCCTGGTGGTCCAGTGGTTACAATTCTGAATTCTCACTGCCAAGGGCCCAGGTTCAACCCCTGACCAGGAAACTAAGATCCTGCAAGCCACATGGTGTGGCAAAAAAAAAAAAAAAATTAAATTTAAAGAAAAAAAAAAGAAGAGGAGTTCTCTAACTAAACTGGAAAGTCTTAAAGGAAAGAGACTGTGTTTTTTATTTATTTGGTCCTCACAAATTGCTCACTGAGTGCCAAAAATTCAAAAGGTACTAAGCACAGAATGAATCAGTAAATGGCACATTTCACAGATAAAACTCTAATAAAAGAAAAGGGGACAGGGGACATCCTTGGTGGTCCAGTGGTTAAGAATCTGCCTTCCAATGCAGGGGGCCTGGGTTCTCTCCCTGGTTGGGGAGCTAAGATGCCACATGTGAGGGGGCAACTAAGTTCTCGCACCAGAACCCATGCACCACATCAGGAGAAGCTCATGCAGCTCAAGGAAGACTCAGGGCAGCCAAAAACAAAAGGGGAGGGGCAAAACAGGGCTATTAAGAGGTACTAACTGTTCTCTATAAAATAAATAAGCTATCAAGATATATTGTACAGCACAGGGCATATAGTTATTTTATAATAACTATAAATGTAGTATAACCTATAAAAGTTTTGAATCAATATATAGTGAACCTAGAACAACATACTTCAATCAAACAGACCTCTAAAGGAATGTTCTAAATTTGTTATAGCTTATTAAATTTTTGCCATTTTTATGTTTAATCTAAAATAATGTTTGTTTTTTAAATAATTTTTTGAGGGAGTCCCCTCATGGCCTAGTAGTTAGAATTCCAGGTTCAATCTCTGGTCGGGGAACTGAGATCCCACAAGCCGGGTGGTGTGGCCAAGAAATAGTGTCTTTCATAATCTTTATCATCATGGGATAGACGGACAAATAAGTGGCTGGTGATATACCCATGAAACAGCTCTTAAGGACAAATTTATGCAAATTCCTTTTGGATATGTCACTACAATGCTCCTGACATTATGGCCAGTAGACAGGCAAGTATTTGAAATGAATGCCAAATTCAATCTTTAAGTAGACTGATTATACAATCAAGTCCAAATGAGGGTGGAGGGGGATGATTTGATCCTCCCAAATCAGGCAAAAGTCCTAAGGCTGGCAAAATTACCTCCACTAGTATGAAATGGGATTAAGTTTCTCATTGTTACAGAGACTTAGAGGGAAAAAAGGAAGTTCATAGTGTTCCCAGTGGCTCAAGAACTGCTGGAATCTGTCAGGTAAAGTATGCAAACAGTTGTTGGTTCAGGTCAGAAACTCTGGCCAATCAGAAACCTTGGTCCTCTGAGATAATATCTGAATTCTCTTGGAATGTTAATATCAAAATTTTTTGAGATAATAAAACCTTTCTGTTATAAGCATCTTTTTACTCAGAGAAATTTCAATTTAAAGACTTAAATCTTTCATATTAAGAATACTTTGTACATATGTATGTTATATGTTAGTCACTCAGTTGTGTCTGACTCTTTGTGACCCCAAGGACTGTAGCCTGCAAGGCTGCTGTAGCCTGCAAGGCTCTTCTGTCCTGGGAATTCTCCAGGCAAGAATATTGGAGTTGGTAGCCAGTCCCTTCTCCAGGGGACCTTCCTGACCCAGAGATCTAACCAGGGTCTCCTGCATTGCAGGTGGATTCTTTAGTATCTGAGCCACCAGTGAAACCCACTTTATACATTTCTGTATTTAAATTGTAATGTTTAAAGGAACTTGGGGTACTAGAAATTCAGGTAAAAAATGTGATTAAGTAACAAGATTTGTCATTTTAATTGGAAATGTATGAGACTACATTAGAATATTTTAAGAATGTTTAAAACACTATATTTGTGATTTTAATTTTTTAAGTTTAGAAGAGTTTATATACTTGGAAAAGTTTTAAAGTACTCAAAAATAACACATCAAAAAAAAAACAACACCATGTTAAACTGACAAAATCCTACTAAATTTGAGGACATTTATCTAACATAAATTGGACTGACTTTTTGAAGGGAGTTTAGTCCATTCAATTTGAATTCAACTCAATAGAAAAAGTGAAGGTCATTCTAATATTCTAGTTAGATTTATAAATAAAACAAAATTTCTAAGTCAGTCTTAAGGTTTCAAGGAAACTAGATTAAAAAGCACTTATTCTATATGTTGAATGTTAACTTTTAAAATGCAAGTATGAAAAATAGAATCTTCTGTCCAGAAAAGTCATACATGAACGTTAAAAAACTCACATTGGCAAAATATATTTAATTATCAGCCAAATTCTCTAAGCATAATATCTGTTACCTTCTTTATCCCAGGCCCTTAGTTAGCCTGTGGTCTCCACCTCACAAGTTTTAAGATAGAATATTCTTGGTTGCGATGATTTAACCCAATTACCTTCGAGGCAAAAGAATCGAGAACATAACGATGAAAAGGGAAGGAGTACATGAGCCAGACAGAGGTTTTGCATGGTGAATAAAAAGCATATCGTATTTTTAATATTTCCTTTTAAATACATAAAAATACTTTCATTTTAGAGACTGAGTTTTCCAGTTGGAGTTTCTTGTTTGTGTGCTAAATTGCCAGGTTCACTCTGATCATTCTGGAACAGAAAACAATTTAAGAGATATTGAATACTCAAGTAACTTAAGAGTTTAAAATATTTCTCTTCTCGAATAAGAAGTCTAGAGGTTAAAGTCAGATTCTGTGCAGTCATATTCCCAAACAAAATTAAGTAGGGGCCACCATCTATGTTTTAATATTTTCACAATTAAGTCACAACACTAGAATTAAAAAGGAAAAACAAAGGCAAAGGTTAGCTTGTCTTTTCTAAAATAATTGTGTTTCAATATAATGTGATGATTTTCAACATTCAAAAAATGAAGAGTGAGTTTTCAGGAAAAGAAGTTAAGGGAGTATTACTAATTATACAAAATCTATTCATTCTCTAAAACAAACACCTAAGTGCAAAGTTAATCTGAAATGCAAAGCATCTTTATACCAAGATTTCCTCTAAATATTTTATTTAGAGACAACAGAAGTTAACTTTTTTGAGGATTAAATATTTGCCAGGCATTTTACATGGCAAAAGAGGCTATTACCTCATTCAATCCTTTCTATACTCCTACTAGGCCTTCATTCATCCAGTCATTGATTTAATGAGTTTATACCTGCGCATCTGGCTAAGTGCTGAGAATTCACTAGCGAGCATTACTGGTCTTCCCCACTAAAAAGAAGTTTAGTAATTACACTCTTCTTCACAGAAGAAATGGAGGGTAGGTTCATTTACTTGTCCAAGGTCACAGTATTGGAGCAGCTACACAAACTCATCTCAAATCTTTGCAGTCAATCATTAAGCTATCAACAGACTTCTAGATTTTCTCTTCAAGATTTTTTTGCTTTGAATTTTTTTCTAAAATTTTTCAACCATTTTTATCTTAAAGTCTTGTAGACAATGACCTCTCTGCTCTCCGATTTTTCACCGCGTAGACCAAAGAACAAGTGGTGACTGTACATTCTAAATGCCACGCATCTGGGAGACTTCAGGAACAAGGAGCCAAATCCCAGGGGGATTATTATTCACTCGCTAAGTCATGTCCAACTTTTTGCGAGCCCATAGAATGCAGGTTTCCTTGTCCTTCACTTTGCTCAGTTTCATGTCCATTGAGTACATACCAAGGGGAATGGGGTACATTTCTGATGAAACAATAGCAACCCCCACACAAGGTCAGATTATAAATTCGAGGGGCACAGAGCTGGACCACTGCCAAGGGATGCAGTGTTTTTTCACCTTCTCTTTGCCTTTGCCCACTACTTCCAAGGGTATTTTGAAGCTAGGCAGTCAACGCAGTGCCTGGTCCACTGGCTCCACAGGCCGAGAAATCTTTTTGTTTCACACTCTTAGCCCCCTACCCCTAAACGTCTCTTTTCATCTTCTCCCTTACTTGCTTTTCACCCCTTCTTCACCCTTCGCAGATATTCTGTATAACAGCGTTTCGTTTTATTCTAGAGCCATATGGACGAGATTGGTTTACAGCGACCTTGACAGACACCTGGGTGGGAGGCCAGGGGGAGGGGGCAACCGTCAACTCAGAAACCTTCTGAGAGCTCTAGGGCGGTGCCACGAGGAGTCGGCGACCACTGAACTCCACTCAGTGATGAGTTTTCTGAAAGATTGACGGTACGGGTACCAACCGTCTTTGCGCTAGCAGCTGGCGCGATCTCGCGAGATGTGAACGCCGATCGGGAGAAGGGACTCAAAGGCGCCTTTCTGAGTGGGGGATGGGAATATCTGTGGCGCAATCATTGCGCGAGATTGGGCCATGGTCGTTGGGGGCCGATGCTTAAATCTCGCGATATTTCCGCTGCTCTGGACTGGAATTAAGAGCTGCTTCTCGCGAGAGCCCGTGCTGAAGGCTCTGTGAGGCCCCGTGTGTTTGTGTGTGTGTATGTGTGTTGGTGAATGTGAGTACGGGGAAGCTGCGGCCGCCATTTCAGAGAGCTTGCCGACACTGTCGCAGGGGTGGATCCTGAGCTGCCGAAGCCGCCGTCCTGAACTCCCGCGCGGGCTCCTCTAATCTCATTGTCTCTTTTAGATTCGCTTGGGCCTGTCCGCCCTCTGAGCCTGAAATTCGGGCTGGGTGGTACTGCGGCCTGGGCCTAACGGCTTAACAGTAGCAACAGCGGCGGCAGCCACAGCACCCCTCTTTCCGAATACGAGCACCGCAGGGACCCGGAAAGCCCGCACAGGTGAGGAGGCATCGCGGACCCGCGTATTTTCAGGGCTTTTTTGAGGTTTGGTTCTTTTCTGTGTTGAGGAGTCACTCCTTAGGCGATTTTAAGCGACCGGGTTGGGGGGGGGGAGGTTTTCTAGAAATCGTTGTCTTTTCGACGACCGCACCCTTTTCCTGTCGAATATTTTTCAGGGTTTTCGGGTGGCGTGGGCTCTAGAGAGGTTTCGGGCAGATGGCGACCTGTCCCTTCGAGGCCCGGGCCGACCGCGACCTCCCAACATGGCGCCAGCCGAACGCTGCTTTGGCACACAACCCCTCCCAGCCGAGGGAGTTTCCCTTTGCCCCTAAAATGGCAGCGCGGGTTTTTGCGCGAAAACGGCGCCTGGGCTCGAGATTCTCGGGTTCTGTTTTTTGAGGCGCTGTAAGCTTTATAAAAAGAGAGGAACTTAATCTGTCTAGCGTTGGGGACATTTTAGACTTAATTCAAGCCTACTAAAGTGGTCCCGCTTTAGTCATTCTGTGGGACCTTTCAAGTTTTTTAATATGTCCGGTAAAAAGGAAATTTAGTACAATTTAAAATTGTTTACTCACCAAATTTTCATTCTCGCTTTTTACCTAGTCGTTTAGAGAAAATGGCAGACGATATTGATATTGAAGCAATGCTTGAGGCTCCTTACAAGAAGGTGAGAAAAAACAAGTCGGTGAGGTTTATCTATTTCTTAATTTAGCATTATTCACGAAACTACTGCTGAAATGTAAACTAACCTCCCCGGAGCCCTCTTGATTTACCTTATCAGAGATGCATTACGTGTAACTTACAAAAGTAAATATATGCTATTGATGTAATAATATTGTGCAGTAGTTTCACTTCAGCGTGATGAATAAATGCCCATCTATCTCTCTTTGTAGACTTGCCTAACGATATCTCACCTCTACTCCCATGAATTCACCTTTGATTCCAGTGTGAACTGTCAATCATAAGGTAGTAATTGAGTGACTTATCGCTGTACCGTGGTCCCCTAGGTAAAATGACTCAACTAAGAATTACCAGCTCCAGTTTGGTATAGCAAAAAGGTGAATGTAGTGGTTTGGGAAAACAGCAGGGGTCCAAGAATAACAAAGCATAACCAGTCTGTGGCAAGCAAATCTTTAAATAAGACAAGTCTTACAAGAAGAAATGGGTGAGATTTAAAATTTATCCTATACATAAGACTGGTGATAGTAAATATTAAAACAGGCAGGTGATGATCTGCTGCTCAGTTAAAAATTACTAAAATTCTTGGATCCCTGAACAGAAAAAATTTTCTTAAAGCAAAAGAGGCAATATCACAACTTAGAGTCACTTGATGACTGTTTAGCTGTTCTCCATATTGTTTTATTTTTAATTCGTCCCTGCCATAATATTTCACACTAAAAACTACAAAGGAGTTATTTTGGCTAATAACGTAGATCCATTTCAGTATCACAGTAAAAGTAAAGTGTCTTTTCATTCTTCACCACCAGTTGGTGGTGAAAGTAACAGTATGCATGCGTTATCACTGATGTCACAAACTGTAAGCTTTGTAAGTTAGCACTTATACTCCTATAGCTGATGTGATCAAACTTGAAAATAAACATTTCGCTAAACCTTTTAAAAATAATACATTTGTTTTGGAGTGTATAGCTCGACCATGTGGTACCAATTTGGATGAATTCTTTAAAGCTTTGAATAGTGTACTTAGTTTGTAATACTTAGACTCTTGAAGCTCTACTTTCTATTTTAATGTTAAGATTCTTAGTTTAACATGGATGTAATTCCATGTAAACAGGTATGGAAGTAGGACTGGTGGATTATTAATTGACTTTCTTGGGTTCTTGGGAGTCAACATTACTAAAGCAGTGTGAATCCCTGTTTGCTTCAGGGCGAGATGTGTGACAGAGGTGGCATCAAGCTCTTACAGTCCCAACCCTCCAACGGAAATGGGCGAAGATCTCAGGAATGGCATCGGTCACAGGAAATCGATAGTGGCTGGCTGCTAGCATGGCCACTTGGGGCTTAGGCAGAAATAGAGCCATGGTACTGATTAAAGGGGCCATAGCACATGGAATAAAACTGAAAACAGGACTTCATTCATGTTTTATAGAAATTCTATTTAACCACTTCAACACTGTAAATCTGGATAACTTAATATCTAACTATATGAGAAAATTTAACATGTTAATACGCATTTTTACTTTTGTATCTTGATGACTTAATTTGTAAGCAACAAAGTGGTTAAACATACATCCATCTAAATTTTTTTATAGCCTTCCATGTTAAACTATAAATAAGTAATTAGTTTTAAAATTGTTTTGTATTTTCTTATTCCTATTCCCTTTACCCTTTGACAACTTGAAATGTTACCACTTCGTCCTCATGATGTTCTTCTATCAACCCTGCTTAGGATGAGAACAAGTTGAGCAGTGCTAACGGCCATGAAGAACGTAGCAAAAAGTAAGTTTCAAGAAGGGACCTGGGTTGGGGGGGACGTGCTGTACATGATTGAGACTTTTAAGTTGTACCCCTGTGGTTAAAGCATCACACCTAGGTACTCTCCTGAAGCTTTTCTTTGCCTGTTTTAGAAAACTGGGTTCTTTTGGGAAGAGACACTATTTGAGGATGTAAAACTATGGACTCTCCTTAGATTTCAGGAATGGGTGTCATTGGACACCTTCCCCTCCAAGTCCATCCATGACAATCTGGATGAGTTCTTATATTCAAGCTTGTCTAAAATTTGTTAACTTTGGCTTAATATTTATTACTTAATGTCATCAATAAAGCTGTTATATTCACTGAAGATGGGTTAGAAAGAAGGTGATAACTGTGGGAAATGTGTTTTGCCCTAAATTACTGAAGAAGTCAGAGCTGTGAATTATTCATGCTCCTTGATGCTTTAAGATTCTTTTTGTAATAATGTTACAGCATACTTCAGTATTTCTTAATGTTCTTAACATGGCTTTCATTGTCTTAAGCTTTTTAAACTCTGATAGAGTTAATAGAATGGAATTCCAGAAAATTATGCATGTTACTTGTGTAAATAACTAACCGTTAATAGGAACTCAGTGACAGATGAGTACAGAATACAGTGTGAAAGAAGTCTAAATAATAGTATAAACCAAATGCACTTTATAAGATTTGATCCTGTTGAGTTTTCTTTAGCTCTAAATGATAGCATCACATGTTCTATATCATAAGCATTAAGATGTTTTATTAGCTTTTGTGATGTCATATTCAAATGTTTTGTTATATTCATGACCTCATAATACATTACAAAAAATGATGGTAATGAGAGTCAGTCACTTGATTCTTTCTGGCTCTTCCAAGAGCTCAAAGTGTTTCATAATATACTACCTCAATATCTCACAAGAAGTTTGTAAGGTAGGTTAATAAAATTTCATAAAATAGTTGAGATTGTCTAGACTGGATTGTTCAGGCTTTGCTGCACCAGTATTCTTACCCCTAGAGTATTGTAGGAATTGATCACAATGGTAAAATTTGTAGGATATTTCCTATATTTTTTCTGCATGGGTGGGAGTCTCTTATTGCTCTTCACTAATCACTTTAATGGGTATTGAGTTGGGTTTAGTCTTGAATTGTTACAGTTTGAGGCAGTCAGCCAACCAATCATTGCATGGTTTAGTGTCCTTTGATTTTATACCTTTTACCAAAGTATGTTTCCTAATTAACACTTCTGATTTGCAATTTTACAATTAAAAGGTAGGAAGGGGTATCCATATAAATTGAAATTATCCAGTCTCTAGATAACATGCCTAGTGGACCAATAAAGATCTCATCTGTAATGAAGACATTGGTAGTGCACATGCTTTCTTTGTTGTACCATTCTTTAGATATCTTGCTACTAATACCATCTTTACTTGTTACCTTCCTGCAACTAAAGACTACCAAACTTTTACAAGGCAATTGAGCATCAAGCTCTCAATGACTGGTGCTTGGTGGCTTTTATATAAAGTGTGAAGTCTTAAAAGGCTAAACAGAAGAATGGACAATTTCTTTAATTGGCCATAGGAGTCTTTGTTTAAGGGAAGAATATTCACAAAACTTCACCTGTCATCTGGTTTCTTTTTAAATGTACAAATTATTTCTGTCAGACTTCTCATCCTCAGTTGAAGCTGACTCCCTTGTTTTGCCTGAAGGGAATTAATCTTTCAAATTAATTTGAAAGTTATCTAGAAGAAAATTTTTTTTATAAATTATAAAACAGAATGTCCTGTGCATTAGTCTTTAGTGTGGATGAATTAAGTCTCTTAATCAAAGGAAGGTGCCACGTTGCCAAATTTTTCATTCTGAAACTTCATTGTTCTTTAAAAGCCATTGGGTATTGGGATGTAGTTTTAAGATAGTAAGAAAATGCACATTCTGAGAAATGGAGAGTTGACTGACTAGTGTATGTTTTCTTTTAAAAAACAGTATAATTC